CAGCAGAGGCGGCCGCGGGTGTGCTCGGGAGAAGGGCCGCCCAAGGCTGACCTCATGGCCTTCAGCCCCAGCCTGCCTCCGGGTCCCAGTTCTGCAGAAAGCGTGAGTCTCATAATCATATTGTCATGTCATTAACAGAAGATTTTCCCACTCTGGTTTCTAGAATTACTATTTTATTCTTAAATTTGTTGCTCTATTGATTTTATTCGTATACTTGTAATTATGGCTATGTTTGAAACCTGCTTTCATTTAAGACAATTCCTTGCGCTGTATCTAGTGTCTTTTTCAGTAACAACCTATCCAAAACGGTTTTTCAGGTTGGAGAAAAGGATTCACTTTCTTTGCGCAGTGGAATATCTTTTTAATGTTAAAATTTGTAAGCATAATTTAATTTCTTAGGAAATACTGTACAAGGCTATGCGTACAGCTTTTCAATGATATCTTCAAATTCTCATCGAATTAAAATAGAAATATGTTAATGTGTTATGTTATTTTGCTCTTCTTTCTTCTCATTGAACATCAGTTGTATTAGTTTTCTTTATACATCGATTTAACTTATTTTCTTAACATTTGACTAATTGAGAATTCTTTTCAGTTTGCCTAACAGCTGATCTTGGCATACTCATGCTGATTTTTTTTTTAAAGACTTTATTTTATTTGTGCATACAGAACTGGGATACAGGCCAGAGATGTGGAGGGTGAGAGAATTCACCAGAGACAGAGTGGAGTGCAGAACAGGCAGATCAACGAAATACACTGCTGAGGGGAGCAGCGGGCGGGTCAGGAGAGGTCTGCCACGCCATGTGGTCACCTCCGGGGCAGGCGGGAATCGAACTCATGAGGAAGCGGCTTTAGATTCTCAGTGCAGTGCTTTAACCCGCTGCGCCACCAGGGAGGGCCCTCATGCTGATTTTTAAAAAGATTTACTTTAAATGTATACACAAGTGGTGTACAGGCCAGAGGTGTGAGGGGCAAGAACGTTCACCAGAGAGATTGGGGAGTAGAACTTGCAGATTGGGGAGTAGAACTTGCAGATTGACAGAAATACACTGCTGAGAGGAGCAGCTGGTCAGGAGAGGTCTGCCATGCCATGTAGAACACTTTCTGGCCTAGGTTTGAACTTGACTGCAGTGGCTGCAGATAGCTTTATGGTGTTGTGCTTTAACCCTTTGTACCACCGTAGAGGGCCTTCATGATGATTTTATATTTATTTGAATTTTACTTTAAACAGTTTCAGCATCTTCATTTTATTCATTTTTCAATATGAAAAATTTTTACCTAGTTCAGAATGTTTCTCTTCTAACTGCAATATAAAGATATTTAATTTATCTCCTTGAATATTCCTAATGTTGTGTTTTCTTGCTTATCGTATAAGAAATATTTTCTTTATATGTAAAAAAGCTCCCCTCCCTTATTTTAAGCATAATATTCATGTTGCTTTTCCTCTTGTTTCCTCGACTTAACCAATTTCATATGACCTGAGTACTGGTGAACATAACATAATACTTAATGAGATTCTCCATTCTTTTTTTCTAGATCTATGATACCCCATTTTTTTTACATATAGTTTTTCCTTTAGCATTACATCAAAGTATATTGGAACAATGACTAGTTTTTCTCCAATTTGCACCTTTTCAACTTCCAAGTTTTCTCATATTAGTGAGAAGTAATTGTGAATTTTCACAGAGGGTAATTCTTAGCATAAATGTGTCCAAAGGTTTTGAATTTTTTGTTACCATTTATTTTTAGGTTTTAAAAAGTGACTTATATCAGTTCTTCAAAACATAATACACAAGATTGCCATTGAAAATAATACTGGATATGACAGCTTTTGTTTACATCTCAGGTCATATGAAATTGGTTCAAATATTTTGTCATTTCCAATTTAGAGCATTCAGTAAGAGTTGTACTCCCAAAGATAAATGTGGTGGCATGTGTGCATTTTGCACACTTTGAATATGGCGGGAAGCAAAAGGAGTAATGAAAATATGCATTAATAACATTAGACTGTTCATACCATCAAAATAAAATGTGAATTCTATAGGTATGAATTGGGAGGCTACTAATGATTTCTTATCATAATCTTCAAGTTTTAATCAAGTTATTTTCTAGAAGTCATGAGCAAATATGTGAAAATGAGCAGGAGAAGCATAGCAAGAGGTAATATGTGGCATGGGGACTTTCTTGAATAAAAATCTGTTTGACATATTGGAAATGAGTAAGAATATTTAAAGAAGGTAAAAGGCTAAGATTGAGAAAAAAAGATTCTTTTGAGCAACTGAAGTGTTAGGCAACACAGAGCAATGGCTAAAAGTTACAAGGGAAATTACTAGTCACAGCAAAGAAAGTGAAGAGAACTGTTCTGAGGGGTAAGCCTTGTGTAATCAGCAAAAAATCACAACATGGAAACAATGTGCACTAAATTTACTTTTTCATTATTATTCCATTTTTAAGGAAGGTAAACTTCACGTGATGTATTTGACATTCATTGAATGAAGAAAGAGTGAACTGCAATAATCTAACATTTTAAAATTTCAAATGAATTTGTCAAGTTTAAATACATTCTTTTCTTAAAGCAAAATAAAATAACTTCTGGGAGAGAAATACATAGACATGTTGCTTCTCTACACAAGTTGTGTAGAATAGTTTGCACTTCTAATTCCCAAGTATAGTTCAGATCATGCTCAAATTTATTAAAATGATTAATACTAGTACTGAAATTTTGGGGAGGAAAATTACCTCTCTACACATAATCAGATCCCTTACCCTATTCTAAGTTGAAAAAAGAAGACAGGAGATGAAACAAAATGCATCTGAAAATTACAAAAGTGATACTTACCTTTTAAATAGGTAAATACATATATTTTTAAAATTCAAAAATTAGAGCATTGTGCAGGTATGCGAGTTAGTTTTTAACTTACCCTTTGAGCCGCATGATGTCGCTGTCTACCAGGAATTACATCTAGCTATATCCAAGTCCATTCTTCCTGTTTCTGCATGTTTCCGCGGATACTGAGTGATGGCCATCGCAGAAGAATGATATTAAGAGGAAGGATCATAAAGATTTTCATCTTAAGAGTGAAACACAGAGATCGGCTCATGGAAATAAAAGAAGTTTTTGACATGCTTATTAAGCCGGAATACCGAGTGGGATCCCGCTTTCTGCTACTCTCCTTTCTGCTGCTGTCAGTCTGGGAGGTGGAGAGCGGCCAGGTCCGCTACTCGGTCCCCGAGGAGGCCAAACACGGCACCTTCGTGGGCCGCATCGCCCAGGACCTGGGGCTGGAGCTGGCCGACC